CCAATCCAACCCATTCCATCCCAACCCATTCCATTCCAACCCATTCCATCCCAACCCATTCCATCCCAACCCATTCCATCCCAACCCATTCCATTCCAACCCATTCCATCCCAACCCATTCCATCCCAACCCATTCCATTCCAACCCATTCCATTCCAACCCATTCCATCCAAATGGATGGGATTCCAAATCCCTTCCAACCCATTCCATCCAGACTGGAGGGGATTCCAAAGCCATTCCAACCCATTGCATCCAAATGGATGGGATTCCAAATCCATTCCAACCCATTCCATCCCAACCCCATCCATTCCAACCCATTGCATCCCAACCCATGCCATCCCAACCCATTCCATTCCAACCCATTCCATTCCAACCCATTCCACCCAAATGGATGGGATTCCAAATCCATTCCAACCCATTCCGTTCCAACCCATTCCATCTCAACCCATTCCATTCCAACCATTCCATCCCAACCCATTCCATCCCAACCCATTCCATTCAAACCCATTGCATTCCAACCCATTCCATCCAAATGGATGGGATTCCAAATCCCTTCCAACCCATTGCATCCAAACTGGATGGGATTCCAAAGCCATTCCAACCCCATCCATTCCATGATCCCTTGAATTCCAAACTGGGTGAGATTCCAAATCCATTCCAACCCATTCCATCCAAGCTGGAGGGGATTCCAAATCCATTCCAAGCCAAAATCTGGGAACTGGGATGGGATTTCAAATCCCTTCCAACCCATTCCATCCAGACTGGACAGGATTCCAAATCCATTCCAACCCATTCCATTCCACGATCCCATGAATTCCAAACTGGATGGGATTTCAAATCCATTCCAACCCAAAATCTGGGAACTGGGATGGGACTCCAAAGCCATTCCAACCCATTCCATCCAAACTCGATGGGATTTCAAATCCATTCCAAGCCAAAATCTGGGAACTGGGATGGCATTTCAAATCCATTCCAACCCAATCCATTCCAACCCACTCCATCCAAACTGGACGGGATTCCAAAGCCATTCCAAGCCAAATTATGAGAACTCCAAACTGGATGAGATTTCAAATCCATTCCAACCCAACCCATTCCATGATCCCATGAATTCCACACTGGATGGGATTTCAAATCCATTCCAACCTGAAACTGGGGAATTGGGATGGCATTTAAAATCCATTCCAAGCCAAAATCTGGGAACTGGGATGGGATTCCAAATCCATTCCAACCCAAAATATGGGAANGGATGGGATTCCAAATCCATTCCAACCCAAAATATGGGAACTGCAAACTGGATGGGATTCCAAATCCATTCCAACCCAAAATATGGGAACTGCAAACTGGATGGGATTCCAAATCCATTCCAATCCAAACCATTCCATGATTTGATGAATCCCAAACTGGTCAGGATTTAAAATCCATTCCAACCCGAAATCTGGGAATTATTTATGTGGTTCCTTTCCAACCCAAACCATTCTATCATCCAGGATGTTTCCAGGATGAATCCAGGATTTTTCCAGGATGAAATTAGGATGAATCCAGGATTTATCCATGGATGAATCCGGGATGTTTCCACGGACGAATCCAGGATTTTTCCTGGATGAATCCATGGATGAACCCAGGATTAATCCATGGATGATTCCAGGATGTTTCCATGGATGAATCCAGGATTTATCCAGCGTGAACCCAGTACGAATCCTGGATTTATCCATAGATAATCCTGGATGAAACCAGAATTTATCCATGTATGAATCCAGGACGTTTACATGGATAAATCCAGGATTTTTCCAGGATGAACCCAGGATTTATCCATGGATGAATCCAGGATGTTTCCATGGATAAATCCAGGATTTTTCCAGGATGTTCTCAGGATGAAATCAGGATGAATCCAGGATTTATCCATGGATTTTTCCAGGATGCTTCCAGCATGAACCCAATACGAATCCAGGATTTATCCATAGATCAATCCAGGATGAAACCAGAATTTATCCATGGATGAATCCAGGATGTTTCCATGGATAAATCCAGGATTTTTTCAGGATGTTTTTCAGGATGAATCCAGGATTTATCCATGGATGAATCCAGGATGTTTCCATGGATTTTTCCAGGATGCTTCCAGCATGAACCCAGTATGAATCCAGGATTTTTCCAGGATGTTTCCAGGATGAACCCAAAATTTTTCCAGGATGAACCCAGGATTTATCCATGGATGAATCCAGGATTTCTCCATGGATTTTTCCAGGATGAACCCAGGATGCTTCCAGGATGAACCCAGTACGAATCCAAGATTTTTCCAGGATGAACCCAGTACGAATTCAGAATTTATCCATGGATTAATCCAGGATTTTTCCAGGATGAACCCAAGATTTTTCCAGGATAAACCCAGGATTTATGCATGGATGAATCCATGATTTTTCCTGGATGAATCCAGGATGTTTCCATGGATAAATCCAGGATTTTTCCAGGATGAACCCAGGATTTATCCATGGATTAATCCATGATTTTTCCTGGATGCTTTCAGAATGTTTTCATGGATAAATCCAGGATTTTTCCAGGATGTTTCCAGGATTTTTCCAGGATGAACCCAGTACAAATCCAGAATTTTTCCGGGATTTTTCCAGGATGAACCCAGTACGAATCCAGGATTTTTCCAGGATTTTTCCAGGATTTTTCCAGGATTTTTCCAGGATTTTCCCGCGGGTGCACCCACCGTAGGTCGTGATCATCTTGCTGGTCTCCCGGAAGAGCAGGATCCCGTTGGGAGAGGAGACATCGAACTGGAGCCGCTGGGACCTGCGGGAAAAACGGGAATGGGAGAGCTGGGAATGCTCCCCTGGAGCAGGGAAAACCCAGGGAGAGCTTCCAGAACATTCCAGGGCCTGGAGGAGCTCCGGGAGAGCTGAGAGGGATCTGGGACAAATCCAAATTTCGGGATGAAGGGATGAAGGGACAGGGAATGGATTTAAACTGGGAAAGGGGAAAATTGATGGGATTTTGGGAAGGAATTCTTGGCTGGGATGGAATTCCCAAATATCCTTGGGAATGTCCAAGGAAAAGTGGGAAAAGGGAAGGATCCAAGGGAATTTTGGAGCCCCTTCCAGAGCCTGGAAGAGGATTTGGGATAAGGGATGGAGGGACAGGACACAGGATTGGAAAAGGGGAGATTTGATGGGATTTTGGGATGGAATTCCTGGCTGGGATGGAATTCCCAAATATCCTTGGGAATGTCCAAGGAAAGGTGGGAAAGGGGAAGGATCCAAGGAAATCTCGGAGCCCCTTCCAAGCTGGAGAGGATTTGGGATAAGGGATGGAGGGACAGGACACAGGGAATGGATTTAAACTGGGAATTGGAAGTTTGATGGGATTTTGGGAAGGAATTCCTGGCTGGGAGGGGCTGGGATGAAATTCCCAAAGGAGTCGAGGCTGCTCCTGGATCCCTGGGAGTGTCCAAGGAATGGTGGGAAAGGGGAAGGATCCAAGGGAATTTTGGAGCCCCTTCCAGAGCCTGGAAGAGGATTTGGGATAAGGGATGAAGGGACAGGACACAGGATTGGAAAAAGGGAAAATTGATGGGATTTTGGGATGGAATTCCTGGCTGGGATGGAATTCCCAAATATCCTTGGGAGTGTCCATGGAAAAAGGGAAGGATCCAAGGAAATCTTGGAGCCCCTTCAAGAGCCTGGAAGGGGATTTGGGATAAGGGATGGAGGGAGAGGACACAGGGAATGGATTTAAACTGGGAATTGGAAGTTTAATGGGATTTGGGAAGGAATTCCTGGATGGGATGGAATTCCCAAATATCCTTGGGAATGTCCAAGGAAAAGGGAAGGATCCAAGGAAATCTTGGAGCCCCTTCCAGAGCCTGGAAGAGGATTTGGGATAAGGGAAGAAGGGACAGGACACAGGGAATGGATTTAAACTGGGAAAGGGGAGATTTGATGGGATTTTGGGAAGGAATTCCTGGCTGGGATGGAATTCTCAAATATCCTTGGGAATGTCCAAGGAAAAGTGGGAAAAGGGGAAGGATCCAAGGGAATCTCGGAGCCCCTTCCAAGGTGGAGAGGATTTGGGATAAGGGATGGAGGGACAGGACACAGGGAATGGATTTAAACTGGGAAAAGTGGGATTTGATGGGATTTTGGGAAGGAATTCCTGGCTGGGATGGAATTCCCAAATATCCTTGGGAGTGTCCATGGAAAAGGGAAGGATCCAAGGAAATCTTGGAGCCCCTTCCTGAGCCTGGAAGAGGATTTGGGATAAGGGATGGAGGGACAGGACACAGGATTGGAAAAAGGGAGATTTGAGGGGATTTTGGGAAGGAATTCCTGGCTGGGAGGGTGAGGAAGGGCTGGGATGGAATTCCCAAATATCCTTGGGAACGTCCATGGAAAAGGGAAGGATCCAAGGGAATTTTGGAGCCCCTTCCAAGCTGGAGAAGATTTGGGACAAGGGATGGAGGGACAGGACACAGGGAATGGATTTAAACTGGGAAAAGTGGGATTTGATGGGATTTTGGGAAGGAATTCCTGGGATGGAATTCCCAAAGGAGCCGAGGCCGCCCCTGGAATGTCCAAGGAAAGGTTGGATCCCCCAGGTATTGAAACAAGTTTTAAATCCCTTCTAAAGTGCAGAATTCAACAAAATCCCAAATTTTTGGGAATCTCCTACCTGTTATAAATGGGATTTGGGAAGAAAAATGGGAATGGGGGGAAAAAAGGGATTTGATGGTGGAAAATTGGGGATTTGGGGAAAAAAATGGGGATTTTGGGGGGCAACAACCACATAGGGTGGGATGAATGAACCCCTCCCAAGAATTCCATGAAATATCAGATTTTTGGGAATCTCCTACCTGATATAAATGGGAATTTAGGTGGGAAAATGGGGAAAAAATGGGGATTTGATGGGGGGAAATAGGGAAAAAAATGGGGATTTTGAGGGGCAACAAGCACACAGGGAGGGATGAATTAACCCCTCCCAAGAATTCCATGAAATTCTGGATTTTTGGGAATTTCCTACCTGATATAAATGGGAATTTAGGTGGGAAAATGGGGATTTAATGAGGGGAAATAGGGAAAAAATGGGAGTTTTGGGGGCAACAACCACAGAGGGTGGGATGAATGAACCCCTCCCAAAAATTCCATGAAATATCAGATTTTTGGGAATTTCCTACCTGTTACAAACTGGATTTAGGAAGGAAGATGGGGGAAAAAAATGGGGATTTGATGGTGGAAAAATAGGGAAAAAAGCGGGAATTTAGGGAAAAAATGGGAGTTTTGGGGGCAACAAGCACACAGGGTGGGATGAAATAATTCTGCTTCCAAGGTGCAGAATTCCAGAATCTCCTACCTGATATAAATGGGAATTTAGGTGGGAAAATGGGGAGAAAAAATGGGGATTTGATGGGGGGAAATAGGGAAAAAAGGGGGATTTGATGGGGAGAAAATGGGGAAAAATAGGGATTTAGGGGAAAAAAATGGGAGTTTTGGGGGGCAACAACCACCCAGGGAGGGATGAACGAACCCCTCCCAAGAATTCCATGAAATATCAGATTTTTGGGAATTTCCTACCTGATATAAATGGGAATTTAGGTGGGAAAATGGGAAAAAAAATAGGGATTTNATTTATCCATGGATGAATCCAGGATGTTTCCATGGATAAATCCAGGATTTTTCCAGGATGTTCTCAGGATGAAATCAGGATGAATCCAGGATTTATCCATGGATTTTTCCAGGATGAACCCAGTACGAATTCAAAATTTATCCATAGATTAATCCAGGATGAAACCAGAATTTATCCATGGATGAATCCAGGATGTTTTCAAGATGAACCCAGGATTTTTCCAGGATGAAACCAAGATTTTTCCAGGATAAACCCAGGATTTATCCATGGATGAACCCAGGATTTATATATGGATTAATCCATTTTTCCTGGATGAATCCAGGATGTTCCCATGGATTAATCCAGGATTTTTTCAGGATGTTTCCAGGATGAACCCAGGATTTTTCCATGATAAAACCAGGATTAATCCATGGACGAATCCAGGATTTTTCTTGGATGAATCCATGGATGAATCCAGGATTTTTCCACGGATGAACCCAGTATGAATCCAGGATTTATCCATAGATTATTCCAGGATGAAACCAGAATTTATCCATGGATGAATCCAGGATGTTTCCTTGGATTTTTCCAGGCTGTTTCCAGGATGAACCCAGAATGTTTCCAAGATTTTTTCCAGGAAGAACCCAGTACAAATCCAGAATTTTTCTGGGATTTTTCCAGGATGAACCCAGTACGAATCCAGGATGTTTCCAGGATGTTTCCATGGATAAATCCAGGATTTTTCCAGGATGTTTCCATGGATTAATCCATGATTTTTCCTGGATGCTTTCAGGACATTTCCATGGATGAATCCAGGATTTTTTTCAGGATTTTTCCAAGATGAACCCAGGATTTATCCATGGATTAATCCAGGATTTTTCCTGGATGTTTCCAGGATGAACCCAGGATTTTTCCATGGAGTTTTCCAGGATGAACCCAGTACAAATCCAGGATTTTTCCAGGATGAACCCAGTACGAATTCAGAATTTATCCACGGATTAATCCAGGATGAAACCAGAATTTATCCATGGATGAATCCAGGATGTTTCCATGGATAAATCCAGGATTTTTCCAGGATGTTTCCATGGATTTTTCCAGGATTTTCCCGCGGGTGCACCCACCGTAGGTCGTGATCATCTTGCTGGTCTCCCGGAAGAGCAGGATCCCGTTGGGAGAGGAGACATCGAACTGGAGCCGCTGGGACCTGCGGGAAAAACGGGAATGGGAGAGCCGGGAATGCTCCCCTGGAGCAGGGAAACCCCCGGGAGAGCTTCCAGAACATTCCAGGGCCTGAAGGAGCTCCGGGAGAGCTGAGAGGGATCTGGGACAAATCCAAATTTCGGGATGAAGGGATGGAGGGATAGGGAATGGATTTAAACTGGGAAAGGGGAAAATTGATGGGATTTGGGGATGGAATTCCTGGCTGGGATGGAATTCCCAAATATCCTTGGGAATGTCCAAGGAAAAGGGAAGGATCCAAGGGAATCTTGGAGCCCCTTCCAGAGCCTGGAAGAGGATTTGGGACAAGGGATGGAGGGACAGGACATAGGACTGGAAAAAGGGAAATTTGATGGGATTTTGGGAAGGAATTCCTGGCTGGGATGGAATTCCCAAAGGAGCTGAGGCTGCTCCTGGATCCCTGGGAATGTCCAAGGAAAGGTGGGAAAAGGGGAAGGATCCAAGGGAATTTTGGAGGTTTTTCCTGAGCCTGGAAGAGGATTTGGGATAAGGGATGGAGGGACAGGACACAGGATTGGAAAAGGGGAAATTTGATGGGATTTTGGGAAGGAATTCCTGGCTGGGATGGAATTCCCAAATATCCTTGGGAGTGTCCAAGGAAAGGTGGGAAAAGGGAAGGATCCAAGGGAATTTTGGAGGTTTTTCCTGAGCCTGGAAGAGGATTTGGGATAAGGGATGGAGGGACAGGACACAGGACTGGAAAAAGGGAAATTTGATGGGATTTTGGGAAGGAATTCCTGGCTGGGATGGAATTCCCAAAGGAGCCGAGGCCGCCCCTGGAGTGTCCAAGGAAAGGTTGGATCCCCCAGGTATTGAAACAAGTTTTAAATCCCTTCTAAAGTGCAGAATTCAACAAAATCCCAAATTTTTGGGAATTTCCTACCTGTTATAAATGGGATTTAGGAAGAAAAATGGGATTTGGGGGGAAATGGGGGGAAAAAAAAGGGATTTGGTGGTGGAAAATTGGGGATTTGGGGAAAAAAATGGGGATTTTGGGGGCAACAACCACA